TGTGTGTGTGTGTGTGTGTGTGTGTGTGTGTGTGTGTGTGTGTGTTTGTGTGTCTTGTTGGGGGGGGTTGGAGGGAATGACAACTTAATGTTTGTTTTTATCATTTGGTTTTCTGAGCCAGGATCTCACTTTGCAGCCTTGGCTGGCCTGGAACTTGCTGCATAAAACAGACTTCAAACTCCCAAAGCTTGGCTGCCTCTACCTCTCCAATTCCATGCTTAAATGTCCAGTTTTACTATCTGAATTTGAAGACAGTAAACAGTTTCATCTTAGCATATTCTTCCTTAGTGTGATTACCTGATGGGTACATTTGTGAACAAAACAACTTGTCTGTTGTATGATATCCACAAGACTTTTCTTCTCTTTTATCCTCTTCAGTGAGTGACTTACTTTAGAGACAGGTTCTTTTTATACCTCATCTGTCTCAAAATCAAGATCTCCCACCTCTGACTCTGAGTTCTGGGATAGTAAGCATGTGCCATTGAGGCTAGCTCAAATGTTTCATTTCTTTTTAATTTAAAACTTTTTATTTCAACAGCCAGGCTGTGGGTAATGCTTATGAACCCAGAACTCACTTGTATACCCAGAATTTGGGAGGTAGAGGGAGGAAGATGAGAAATTCAAGGCCAACTTCATTAATAAGTTGAAGACAGGCCTAGGATTTGAAGACCCTGTCTCAAACCAACCCTCCTCCTCCTCATTGCTATGACAACAAAATCACTAACTCTTCCCACCTTCCCTAATCAAAGAGCAGAGCCATGGCTTTGGAAAAGCATTGTTGTCTTCAAGGCAGAACCTTAGTAACTTCAAAGTTAGTCTTCAGGAAGGAGAGACTGAGGCTGAATTTTATGATTGACCCACACAGACACATACACACATAAAGACACACACACACACACACAAACTAAGCAGAGGTCCCGTTTTAAAAGTTGTTGACATTCCAGAACTTGAGCAAGACCTACTAACTAGTAAAATAAGATCACATAGAAAATATTCAACCAATAATGTAATAATGAAATTTATACACGGAAATGATTAAATATAATTCTTTTGGGGATGATGGAATTCAATTTCTAATACCAATATCTTCCACAGTGGCCTTTAAAAGAATTCTGAGGACTAAGGATGCAGCTCAATAATACAGTTCTTGGCTAGCCCATGTTAGCCCCTGTGTTGTATCCCAGCACAGGAAACAAAGAAATAAACAAACAAAAGCACAAAATAATGAACTGTGTGATTCGCTAACCACCTATATGCAGGCCTAGGCTGTGAGGTTGAGACATGATCTAGAAAGCATATTCCTTGTTCTATAATTGAGTGTATTTCTTACTGGGACACTCAGTATTGATTTTGCCAATTACTGTTGTGGTTCTTTAGTTATTCTTTTAGCTCTTTTGCTCTTTGAGGTCCTGCCACCCAACTCCCAAATAAATCACCCAGAGTCTCCTCATTACTTATGAATGACCAGCCTTAGCTTGGCTTATTTCTAGCCAGTTCTCCTTCATTTAAATTTTCCTGTCTACCTTTGTTCCTGGAATTTTCTTTTTCCTACTTCTGTAAGTCTTACTTTCACTCTTATTCCATTGTTGGTTGTGTGGTTGTGTGGCTCGGTAGCTGGCCTCTAGTGTCCTCCTCTCCTTGTTCTCTTGCTCCAAGAGTCTCCCTAACCTCACCATAGTTCTCAGTCATTCCTTAGTTTTTCATCGGATAGTCATGTCCAGCTGGACCAGATTTCTACCATCCTCATTAGCTATCCTAGATCACTGATCCACCTAAATCTGGCTAGTAGTGAATCCTTGGGGAGTCTGATATAGAGAGATGTGTGTCCTCCTTAATCAAGCTTTTGCACAACAGAGGGTGAATATAACTTATGACTGGAAAATTACCGACGTTATGAAGCTGTTGTTAGCCCAGCTAGAGAACTCTTTACCTATATTATACTTCTGACTTGACTCACTGTCTGTCTCCTACTAACTCTCATGAGAAGGACTCTGGGTCCTGAACCACAATGAGTTGTACTTGGTGTGTGAGACTGTGTGTGTGCAGGTGTTGGAGGATAGAGGTGGAGACTCAGGGTGATGTGGGTACATGTGTGGGTCTTGTTGCAATAGTCATGGGTCTATCTATAGTTGTGGGTCTTCCTGAAGTTGTGGGTCTACCTGTAGTTGTCCATCTCCCTGTAGTTGTGTGTCTTCCTGCAGTTGTGGGTCTTCCTGTAGTTCTGTATCCTCCTGCAGTTGTGGGTCTTGTTGGAGGAATTGTGGAAATTTCTGGATTTGAAAATCAAAATAAACAAAGATCAGTCAAGCAAGAATAGGCAAGTTCTTCTGTTGTAGCACCCATGAGAGGTTGTCCCCTGAGAGGCTCCTCTTCTGAACTTCTGTTCTTTGTCATTGACCAACTAGGACTGGGCAGGACCAATAGGAGGCAGCTACACTTATCACATGGAGCTGAGCACAGAGCCCATGTTCCTAAGGACACACTGTATAAATGACAGGTGTCAGATCCTCAGATGTCTAAGCATAGCTGTGAGACTGTGAGATTATGAGGGGCTGGCACTACTCTCAGTGGTGACTGACTTCACCCACATTTCCAGGCCCAGCATGTTCATTTCAGTCAGTCCCCAGAGGACACAACATACAGCCCTGCATCTTAGCTTGCAGATCCCACACAAGCCCCAACTAAATGGGATTTGCACAATTGGGTAGAGAGTGGATATTGCCTATGGTGCCTTCCAATGTAAGACGGACAAGGTGAATACCACTTATCCAAAAATGCTTGGCATAGATTGAGAATTTAAATCTTGCTTAAATATTTGGAATATTTGCATATAGATAATATCTTATGGGTAGGGCTCAAGTATAAACATGGATAGATGTAACATTCATATAATTATACTTTACATATATAGCTTAAAGGGTAACTTTATAAACTGTGGATAATTCTGCATATGATACTTTCATGATGTTGAGTTTTCAAGGTGAATTATCA